GTCAATTTTTTATCTGTGTGTGTGTGTGTGTGTGTGTGTGTGTGTGTGTACGCGTGTTTCAGCTGTGACCTCTCCATCATATCATTGCGGCACATTAACCATTCTTAAACGGGCCTCTGCTGCTTTCCAAAAACTACCAATCACAAACCAGTGAGCAGCCAGGTTGGCACGCTGGCGTTGCCAGCAGGCTCCCGGAGGCTCGCCAGCTCCGGGCCGCTCTCCTCGCCTCGCGGCCACCTCGCTCTCCCTCGCTGGCTGCCAGGCTCCGGGCGATGCTGAGGAAAAAAAAAACAAAAAACCTGCTGCCGTGCTCACCGAGAGGAAGGGCGGCTTCCAGGCCAGGCGGCGCCGGCTGCTGGCTGGCTGCGTCGAATCATCAGGCCTGGCTGCTGCTGCCGCCGAGGCGTTCCAGGCCTTCGGGTAATTACAACACTTGCCCTTTGAAAGCGAGCCCTGCGCTGCCGGCCCCGTCCTGCTCGGTGTTATCTGGACGCTGTGATCCGAGCGCCGGCCTCTGACGCCGTGCTGCACCATCCTCAGGGAGCCTTTGAAGGGCTCTCTCAGCTTTTTTTATTTGTGTGATAGTGGAGCGCCGACATGCCCGGACAAACCTTCCCTTTGTGCCTTAAGTAGATTCCACTTGTGGCGACGTCTGAAGTGGCTGCTGAGCGCCGAGGAGGAGCAGCCAGCAGTAATGATGCTTGTGTGGCCCGGCCGAGGCTCGCCGGCCAAACTGGCTCCTGTGGCTGAATTATTTTTGGGGCTTGTGTGTTTATGTGTGTGTGTATGTGTGTGTTGCGGCTGTACAGCGACCTGAGGAGGCTCTCTGCAGCGGCGACCAGGGACGAACTCTCTGTGCTAAAATGAGTGACAGCGGCAACAACACACACACACACACACACACACACACTGTTTGTTTTATTTTTGCTGGTTTTTAGCCTCTCACATAAACACACACACACTCTCGGTTTCACACTCCCTCTCAGGTTTGTGTGTGTTGTTCCTCTCAGTCATTAGCCGGCCGTGGTGTTAGCCTGTTTGCGGCCCGGGGGGAAACGTCATTAAGGCGATATTGTGGACGCTCAGCCAAGGTTTGTTTTTGTCTTTGGAAAGGGGCCCCGGGTCCCTGGAGGGGCCCCGGCAGTGCTCCTGGGGTCCAGTTTGTTTATAACACTTCTTTGGCAGTTTGGAGGAGGTTGTCACCACAGCAGCACCAGTGGGTTTCCAATGCTAATTGGTCTCCTGGAACTTTCACTAATGGTTCCAAGTAGCTGAGGGAATAAATTATTGTGGCGCATTCTATGGCAACAGTCACACATACACATCCATACAGACACAGAGAGACAGCGGGGACACAAACACAGCGCTTAGTTTATGATTTTTCTGTACTTAGAGATCAAACGGCGTGATAAATGATTCATAAAGCGTCTCATTTGGCATTCGCAGCCTCGATTTGACGCTTGTTTGTCAAATGGCAATTTGATTCAGGACAGCATGGGGCGAATGCAGGAGCGTAATTGGACGTCGCGGGTCATATGCGATATGATTAATTTTTAAGAATTACCGGAAGATATGTTAATGACCCTCGCAGCGATAAGAAAGATGTGAATCCATTGTGCAGAGCAGCTTGTCAGACGGAAATTAGATCTAATGTGGAGATGGTGTTGTTGTTATTAATGATGGATGGATTCAAACATTTACGTCTCAGAAAGCTCGACTGATGTTCAGTGTTACAAATTCATTTTGACAAATTTCTCACATTGGTGTCTCGTTGGAGGATGAAAAATGTGAATATTTTGTCTGAGGCTGAAAGAGTGTTACTGACTGTGACTCCTGTCCTTTTCTTACATAAGAGTAGAGATACTATGGTTTATAATTGAGTAACACAGTTTACAGTTTATACTCCTCTGCTGTGTGTAGAAATCCTTTTATTTTACATGAAAGTATTATTTGCAAAAAGCATCTTAAATATAAAAAATAAACTCACTGTGCTGCAGTTTGGCTCCTGACAGTGGTAAATTATCATATATCATAATAAGGGATTATTACTACTGATGAATTTATGCCTAAAACAACATTTGTTGTATCGACTGAAGGTGAAGATTATTTTAACTTGTATATATACTGCTTAGTAATTTAATCTGTAACATTACGGTATAGTTTTTGAGTTGATTTCGTTTTTTTGATCTGAAATCGTGTCCATAGTGAGATTTGAAACCCTTTGATGAGTTTAGATTTGATAAAATAAACAAACAAAAAAAGAAGAAAAAAAATTGCCAGTCTCGCTTCACACAAAACAATAATGAAATTAGAACTAAAGTTGGATTTAAAGAAACAAAAAAAGGAGAAACAGAAAGTTCAAAACCTGAGTTTAAAAGTAAGAGCACTAAACAGCCTTACTTTAACTAGATACTCATCACATATATTGTATTTATATTTGTAGTTATCAGACAACAGATGAAACATCAGATTCAGATTTAAAGATTTACACAGAAACAGAAGGCAACATGAAACACAAATTATAAATGATACGGGAATGGTATTTAATTAGGTGAATAATAAATGAGTTCAGGATTTTTACAAAACAGGCTGCAGTGTGTTTGTTTTTGCCACTGACTGGTTCTATAAATGTTATGAACATTACATAAAGGACTGTGCAGGGATTCACTGATCTGGTGTGCTTGTCACTTTGTATAACCAACCTGACATCTCGCAAGAGGCGACTTGTTGCAGCAGTAAAACAATGGAAATGTTAGTGAGAGTTGGAGAAAGGAGCGCTGGGAAGAGTTTGTCCCATTAGTTATGTACGCTACATTTACACTGCCTCTTCAGGGTGGGAATTTTAAACCCTTATGCCGCCTCGTTGTTCTGTATAAATGGTATGATTAAGGAATGATTGGGAAAAGTAGCTGATAGCAGTTAGCGGCTATCTCAAAGAACAGCAGTTGAAAATGTCCGCAAATTGGGAAAACAGTGAGGTCTGAGCAGAGGACGAGATCAGCCCCCACATAAGAGAGATGGTAGATGACTGATATTGTCGTGATATGCCAATGTTATTGTTTATAAAACGCTGCTGAAATATAAAGAAGGGACTTTGTAGCGGCTCTATAGCGCCACCTCTGTGCAAAAATAGCTGCTTAGACACAAAAACATGGGACAATAGAGTCCAGGCTCAAAAATACCAAAATGTCCCTTTAATTATTGACTAAAAGGACAGTGTTTCCCTCTGACAGTAGCATTAAATGTAAATGTTACACAGAGCTTTGCTTACATAACTTGAGTAAGTGTGCTTGGTTACATCCCCTGACTGACTCTGAACCATGTGGTGCGTTCACTGACCCCCTCCAGCCGTCAGAAACTACACACAGAACATTCAAACCCTCTCTCTCCTCTCCTGTCTGTCTGATGGATATTAATGTGTTGGATTCAGTCTGCTGCTGTTCAACATGCCACACTGACCCACGACACCAAAACCCTCATTTGGCTCCACCCGTCCCCCGTGGAGCTGAAACAGAAACCCAGCGCTCCCTCCCTCCGGATGCCTCTACAGACTGCCGACCAGCTCCTGGTTCGGTTTCATGTTGGAGTCGGCGGGCCGGTCGGATAAAACACTCGGCAGCCAGTTTGCCCTCTGGCTACCTGGATGGCTGTTTTGGCGAGCAGCTGTCCGGCTGGCTGGCTGGTTGTCAGGGGCGACAGCACCGGGGGTCGGGGTGTGGGGGGGTCCACAGTGGTGCCTCCAAAGCTGGGCGTCGTCCAACTGTTAGTGACCTTGGCTTGGACCCCTCCCAGCTGGACAGAGAGAGACAGAGACAGAGTGTGTGTGTGTGTGTGTGTGTGGGTGTGTGGAGAGGAAACAAGGCTGCTTTTCAAAATAAAAGAATCTGATAATTTGGAGCCATTTTATTTTGCAAGTCTGTAATTTCCTAATAATTTGTTTGGTGTAATTTGGTATTAATTAATAAAAATAGACATCAAGTCCTGGTAAATTAGTTGTGCAGGTTTTTAAAGCAGTTGTGGATTTTTAGGCAATTTTCCTTAAATAAAAGCTGCAGGTCGCTTCTGAAGTTGAAAAGCTTTTAGCCTTTAGCTGCTCTGAGTTTTTGGAACAACGCAAGTGTTTTATGATGAATTTAAAGGTCCAGTGTTTCGAATTTAGAGGCATTTATAGAATATAATATTCATAACTACGTTTCCAGAAGTTTTTACCCTCCTGGAAATATGAGTCGTGTTTCCGTTACCTTATAATGAGCCATTTATATCTACATACAGGGTCCTCCTCCTCTACAGAGTCCACCATGTTGTTTCTACAGTAGCCTGGAATGAACAACTGCATCAGCTGCTGTAGTTCTTCTACAGGCTTGGCACAAAGTAGAAGTTTAGGTTGGTTGCTGCTAGAGTCCACTAAATTGTACACACTAGACCTTTAAATCTTCACTGTTTTTGCAACACAGTCTCACTCCGACCTCGTCACACATGGACGTTTGGTCATGGACTTTACACATCAATATATGACGTGTACCCAGGTCACTGTTCACAGTGCTGTCACAGCAACCTGTCTGATTGATACTTGCTTTAAGATGAGAACACAGATTTTCTAGAGGTTTAAAATCTGTTACCTAAAGTTTGTAACTGTCTGAAATATTTATGCTGCTCTGTCAGATTTACTCTCTTGTTTTTTTTCATTAACAGAAATGACAGTGTAAGCTTCGACTGTCACTTTTTGTTTAAAGTTTGAATGTGTGAAAAAAAAACAGATATTTGATCTGTTCATGCACAACGTCTGCTCCTCAACAACACTGTAGTTGTTTGTGTTTTTTGTTTTGTTGATGCTGTGAGGAAGAGTGATGCTACGTCAGCTGGTCCACATTTAGTCCTGCCTGTATGAATGAATTTCTCTCTCGTGTAATGTCATTCAGAGATCCTGATAGGTAGAAAAAGTCAGATTAAACTCTTGATGTAAAATGTTTTAACACTCAATGTGTCATTTTCTCTTTCAGTCGGTGTTGTGACAAGAAGAGCTGCGGAAATCGCAACGAGACGCCGTCTGACCCCGTCATCATCGACAGGTAGGGACTCACCTGATGAGAAACTTGCCTTTCTTTCTCTACCTCTGTGTATCTGTCTGTCTTCTCTGTTTAAACACAAACACACAGTTTCATTCACTCTTTGAGAAATCGGGTTCAGGTATTTGTCAGACGCTCATTTCACATCAGGTGGTGAGAATGTGGAGTTTTGGGTTCATGTTTTCAGAGGACGTTATACAACATGCAGCTGGTCGACATCATTAAATCTGCTGGGAATTATTTGCTTTCATGTTTAAGATCATAAAATCTTTTGTTTCTTCATATATATATCGGCTGTTGTCTCAAGATGAATCTTGTTGTTTAACGCTCTCTGGTTGATGCCAGTGGATCGTTCTAACGCTGCTCACAAGACCAAACTCTGGTGGTTTTCAGCTTGTAACTACTGTTAACTCACTGCTGATGATCTCACAAATCATCAAGAATTCTTCCTCCCTGGTTTCACTAAATTTCAAAGAAAATCAACTAGTATGGTAACTGGCTGCAGAAATCTAATCCATCACACTCGATGTTAAATCAACTCTTCTCTTCACGAATTCCAGTTGACTGAAGGTCTGCTGACTCTCCACCATATTTCTCTTCACCCAGCTGTCTTCTTTTTACGAACACAGCCGTCATCATGTCAGATTTATTGTCTCTTCCTGCTTCTGTTTTTCTGGTGTCTCACTTCTTCCTCACCTCTCACTTCCGACACTCGACTGTGTGAATTGTATAATCAACACCAGGCGGAAAAATTCCGTTTAAATGAGGCAGTATAAGCGCAGACCTCTGATCAGATTTAATGTGACAGAGAGAGCTGCTTATCACTGTTATGTGGACATGATTTCCCAATATAACCTCTGTCATAGTAATAGGTTTCTATCAATGAATATAAACCTGGTTGTATTGGCAAAGATTTAAATTTACTGTGATTATATTTGGAAAGTCCTGATTTGATTGTTTTTGAATCACTTAAGTTCACTGGATCCTCATTTTAAACAACATCAGACTTAATTCTGTGAACTTTATTCTTATTTCTTTAGATGAAAGTGTGAACATATTAACCTGGAACATTTAAACCAAAGTAAAACTTATACTCACATCCTCTCTGACAGAAGGCACAGTTGCAACAATTGAAATCAATAAAGGATCTTTTAACTGAAATCACAAAGGGAAAATAGACTTTTGTTTAAGTCCTATTTTAAATAGATATTTGCACACCATTTAATCTCTAATCCAGGAGGTTTTAAATTTCAAATTGTTGACTTTATTTGCCTGTATGTGCACATTTTCAACCCAGGTTAAATACAAGATGGGTGACAAGTTAAAGGAAAACCAACATGAAGTCTCTCAGTGTTGAGTCAGATCTTCACAACAGCTTCAGTGCTCCTCACCAAGTATGTGGATCTCTGTTGGAGGGATCATCCACAAGCTATTCCCACCTTTATTTGTTTAGTTAGTCTCCTTAAGATCAAGAGAGACCGGAGGACAGGAGACAGAAAGATCAACAAACATTTCTTCAAAATACATTTGAAGATGTCCCCCTCGATATTAAGCACATGTGCTTTTGTGGTGGTGCTTTGAGATCCTTTTAATTGAAATCTCATATAGTCTCATATTTTCGGGGCAATGGGGGGCGTGAGCAAGTAACAAAACGTGTAGCTCAGCATGTGACGTGGGAGGGAAGCCACGGCTGGTCAGTCCTTCGGCAACTCACTTGTAAATCGGCCCATTCTTCACCGTCCCCATCATCTGACGGTTAATGGCCTCTTCGTTTGCGAGGACAAGGAGGGCGCGCAATTCCTTGTCTCCCCAGTTGCTCATCTTTACAGTGTCTGTCAGGTTTGTGTTTCCCTCTTGCTACTAGCTGCTCGCTAATTCCTGCTATCAGCTGTTTCCTGTTTATCCACTGCCAGTGGCTCGCACGTGCGGCGTCATCAACAGCTCCTCCCACAAGAAATCAACAGCCCCTCCCGTGGCGGAAGGACGCCTCGTTCTGTTTAAACTAAAAGGGTTCCGCCAATGTGACTACTCTACGAGGCGGAAAATTGGGCACCTCAGATCAACTCGCCAATCCAGCTCTGTGTGTCTTAACGCTCGCAGATTGCCGGCAAAACGGCCCAAAGTTCACGGAAAATCTGGCAGTGTAAAAGGGGCTAGATAAACCCCTCACTCTTCCACAGCTCCACCCTCTCATCCAAATATGGTTACTCCTGGCTCCAAAAAAAACCAAGATGGAGACGGCCAAAATGCTTCAAAACAGCAGTCCACAAACCAATGATTGACGTCATGGTAGCTACGTCCATCATTACATACAGTCTTTGGGTATAACATCGCCAAGGAGTCAGTGAGTTGAGCTGGGAGCTACAACTAGAGCCCAGTTTTTCCCCCTTATATTTGTTTACCTTTAGTCCAGCTGTCTCTAATAAAAGTATGTTGAGTAGCTATTAGTAGCTCCTGTTAGCAGTGTATCCGTGGACGTACAGACGACTATCACTGAGCTACTTTGATACAGATTCTCAGGCAAGTTCTGCCTTTAGAAGGAGCGTCTTTCTTCTCTGATTTCTAAGTGGATTTATGTGTGTTTAATTTAGATAATTGATGTCCTCGGGAAGTGTGAGTCAAACTGAATCTAAAGATGAGTTTCCTATCTGTGTGTTCACACACGTTATGAAGAAGAGCATAAGGACACTAAGAGTTTTAAAGTAGCTTAATCACCTCCGTGAGTTTTGTGTTGGTGAGCGGTCACATCAACAGCCAAACTACAATAATTAACTTGTTGTTTTTTAAGAACACCTGCGTGCACCTGTCCCTTTCACCTCACCCCTCCTCATCTCTCCCCCACAGCTTGAACTCCTCTGTTATAATCCTTTTAGTCAGACTACAGTAACTAAACCTGCTGCATTGACTTTCTGTATTTTAAAACTGATGCTTCATTTATTTTTTATCCAATGCCGCATAAAAAAAAAGAAAAAGTCCCTCAGTGTGAATATTTACTCCGACAGCCAATCAGACGATTCAAAAGCATCAGCATCACAATCCTTTATTAACACAGGGTTCGTCCTCTCCGTCTAATCCCTCCGCCCTCGGTGTCCTTGGAGTCGGCGGCTGTCCGTCACAGCGCCCGGCTGTGATTGGTCGGGGTCGCAGTGGTGGGAGCCAATGACCTCAGAGGGGGTCAGGAGGGAGAAAGAGGGGGGAGGGGTGGGGGTCAGCAACAACTCCATGTTGGCTCGTTAGAGAGGCCTTGGACTGCGGCCAGGACACACACTCACACACACACAGGTGATACACACTCATTCACTGTACCAGCGCAGACACACACTCTCTACATACAGTATATATGGCACAAACATGTTCATACATGCTAGAATGGGCATAAATCAGTGATCCTATATGCACATGAAATGTACACACCTATATACTGTATACTGTATATACACACACACACACACACACACACACACACACACACACACACGCACACTCTGGTCCGTCCTCTCACCTTGGGCTGAAGGTGTGTTCTGGTGTGTGTGTGTCTGATGGGTGTTTTTAGAGTTTTGTCACCTCTCTGTGTGTTCTGTCACACATGAGATAGACTCTATACATCCAACTACCCCCCCCCCCCAACACCTACAGACACAAGGCATTGTGGGTACTGTATGGTGGCACTCAATTGGGACTCTGTTGTGTCAGAACTGTCCAATACACCGTAATAAAAGAGATAAAATATATACATACATATATACATATACATATATATATATATATGTAAAAATGTGACTGTCAATACAGGTAACAAATAGTAAAAATAGTAATAAGTTACTTTATGAACATAGAGTACGTTGTTAATGTGCTTGAAGGGTCCACCTGCGTTCTTTTTTGGGTTTTTCAAATGGTAACTCCTACTCAGCCATTAGCCAAAAATTGGTTAAAGCGCTGACACCCCACCCCACATACAGACACCGTTCCCTGACAGTGCATGGAGAGAAAGAAAAGTGTTAGCTTGAAAGATTTAAGCCTTGAGTTGTAACGTGGTGCTATTAAACCTTTATTAAACCAGGTGAAGACACATTGAGATTCAATATAATACTGAATTTGTATAAACACATTAATAGATCCATAATCAGTAAAATTACTGTTTCTGTCAAAGGAGTCTGGTGGCTGTGGACGGGCAACACATTCTCACTCCGACCTCGTCACATATTGACGTTTGGTCATGGACTTTCCATGTCGAGATACACGTAAACAATCAGCCAAGTCAAGTTTACCGTTTTCGGTTGAAATTGTTGTCGTATACGCACATACACATAGTTGGGTTTAGGAAAAGAGAACACGGTTTGGCCTCCTGGCACCGGCCTCCTGGGTGAATTTGGTCCATCCACCATCCATCCTGCCTGCCCTAGTCAGACTTCAGCCGCCCTAAATCTCATCGTTGTCCCTCCGCATTTCCCCCAGATGCTGCCAGGCACAGTAAAACATTGACGGCGACGGACTGCGTATCATGCCTTTAGTTAGCAGCTTTAGCAACTTGAATTCAGCCAGCTTTTAACTTCAGATGATCCCAAACTATCTAATTTCTTGGCTCCTCATTATATTCTCTCTCCACCTCCATTTTGCATATCCATGTTATGAAATCACATCACCTGTCCACAGCTTGAGTGCATTGTGCGACGGTAATAATCATTTGCATGAAACACAGTGCGTTGATGTAGTTATATCTAATGAATAGATTCAGCTGCACTGCTCAGTTTGTATATCTAACTGTGATACAACCTGTTCAGTTTTATAGTATAATGCTGCTCATTCAGACAGCAGCACCGTGTTGTTCTGTTCTGTTCTGTGTTCACACTGATGTCAGTTTGTATTAAGTGACGTTCAGAACAAATTCTCTCTTTCTTGGTTTCACTCTCTGCAGTTCGACCGCTTTAATTAGGACACGACAGGACACTGATACTAGTCCACTAACCCAGGGAATATACACACACACACACACACACACACAC